TACCCAACAGGTATTTGTTTATCTCTTAATTACTTCCACCTCCATAAACAAATAATGCTTTAAGTCAGAGGCCTTGACAATGTTGAGGTGTCGGTTCTTCCTCTCAAAAGAAGCAACTTGATGTGTCAAGACTTGATCTTATGTCACCATAGCAACGATGTCAGTGTAAACTTCTGTAAAATAAATGTCTCGATCATGCTGGTTATGGAAGTGACAGTAAATGGTATTTGTTCTGTGTCCTGTTTAAAAGCTTCCTGATTTAAAAAATCACATGTAAAATAGGGTCAGGAAAAATTCTAACAACTGCATTAGCCCAGCAGTATTGAAGGATTCTAGTGCTTTGGGAGCTGTACAAATCAACCTTAGTGGTATGTCTGTCATAAGCCCATGATATGTGAGTTATGATCATCTTAGTGGTATGTCTGTCATAAGCCCAGGATATGTGAGTTACGATCACCTTAGTGGTATGTATATCATAAGCCCAGGATATGCGATCACCTTAGTGGTATGTCTGTCATTAGCCCAGGATATATGAGTTAAGATCACCTTAGTGGTATGTCTATCATAAGCCCATGATATGTGAGTTATGATCATCTTAGTGGTATGTCTGTCATAAGCCCAGGATATGTGAGTTACGATCACCTTAGTGGTATGTCTGTCATAAGCCCAGGATATGTGAGTTAAGATCACCTTAGTGGTATGTCTGTCATAAGCCCAGGATATGTGAGTTACGATCCCCTTAGTGGTATGTCTGTCATAAGCCCAGGATATGTGAGTTACGATCACCTTAGTGGTATATCTGTCATAAGCCCAGGATATGTGAGTTAGCATCACCTTAGTGGTATGTCTGTCATAAGCCCATGATATGTGAGTTACGATCACCTTAGAGGTATGTCTGTCATTAGCCCAGGATATGTGAGTTACCATCACCTTAGTGGTATGTCTGTCATAAGCCCAGGATATGTGAGTTACGATCACCTTAGTGGTATGTCTGTCATAAGCCCAGGATATGTGAGTTACGATCACCTTAGTGGTATATCTGTCATAAACCCAGGATATGTGAGTTATCACCTTGAGTGGTATGTCTGTCATAAACCAAGGATCACCTTAGTGGTATGTCTGTCATAAGCCCAGGATATGTGAGTTACGATCACCTTAGTGGTATGTCTGTCATAAACCCAGGATATGTGAGTTACGATCACCTTAGTGGTATATCTGTCATAAACCCAGGATATGTGAGTTACGATCACCTTAGTGGTATGTCTGTCATAAGCCCAGGATATGTGAGTTACGATCCCCTTAGTGCTAAGATCGCTTAGTACAACGGTACACTGGGCCCCATTCCATAAGGCAATCTTAGCGATTTGAATATCATAAAACTATGTTAAAGTATGGGAGTTGTGATCACCTTAGCACTCAGACAGCTTCCTGAACAGAGTCCTAATGAACACGACCTGGAACTGGAACTTCCTTGATACCGACTTAGTGGAAACTGGTGGGTTTTAGTCTCCTTTGTTGTCATTCAAGTGTGTAGAGAAATGAAGCTTTCAGTGAAATGGCACCAGGAACAAGCAGACTTCAACATTCCACTAGACATTTGACTACTTTACTAGCCCTTTGAGCCGGATTCCTTTATAATTGCAGTAAAGCAAGGCATAAAAAGGGTTTGTCGGAGGATAATTTCTATTAATTTGGTAAGACTCACTTTTATGTATAGTACCACCCTACTTGAATTCTCCACCCTCCAGCAGTTACTTAATTCACCCTCCCACATGTTGCCATTACCCTCATTAAGTCCCCCCTTCTATCCTTCCACACCATTCCCTCCTCATTCTACCATGGCCCCCTCTTACCCCTCCCAACAGCTACCCTCTTCCTCCTTACCACCAGTCGTCCCCCCATAACTACCTAAAGGCCTCCTACACATCAATCCCCCTTCTAAGCCCCTTCCTCCCTCACATATATTCCCTCCACTCATTCAAAGGGATCCCTCTATAGCCCCTTCTGCAAGCCCACACCTTCCACCCTACTGCAGGAAGGGGTGCTGGTATACAGAGAGGTCTGTATTGTGGCCGCTATGTGGCTCCCTCCTGATCCTCTTCCCCACAGCTGCTCCTAACGGCTGCTTTGAGAGAGATGCCGCCATAAGCCATCTGGACCTAACCAGCCACCGAGATACACATCACCATGGTAACAATACACATTATTGGTTTTGAGAACTTCCTGTGACAACGATGTGGTGGGCTGGTAAACACATCTGGATAGCGAGGGTTCTTGTTTCCCCAACACAGACTCCCAAATACGACCTGTCTACTGCTATGGCAACCAAATAACATATTTCACCAAGAGATACGCGGAAGGATGTTTTTTGTTAAGTTGGGCAAGATACTTGGCTCAGAGCACTGACAACTGTGTATGAATTTCATGCTCCTTGCTCCAGTACAAAGCAAAGCAAGGATGCGTTGTGTTAGAATAATAGCAGAATATTGAATGCGCTGGAGCCTTCAGCTGAAGGCAGAGATGGATGAATTGACCTGAAGTGGCTGCTCGCTTCACGCTTGACTGACCACTGGTGTGACAAAACATTTACCAGCTTCTCCCATCCACACCATCTGAAGGGGACAACCTGTCCTCTCTCCCCCCCTCTCTCTCTCTCTATATATATATATATCTGTATGTTGATGACATGTACTCTATATAGATCTGTACTCACATGACATGTCCTCTGTATAAACCTGGACTGTCACATGACAGGTCCTCTGTATAAACCTGGACTGTAACATGACATGTCCTCTGCATAAACCTGAACTGTCACATGACATGTCCTCTGTATAAACCTGAACTGTCACATGACATGTCCTCTGTATAAACCTGGACTGTAACATGACAGGTCCTCTGTATAAACCTGAACTGTCACATGACATGTCCTCTGTATAAACCTGAACTGTAACATGACATGTCCTCTGTATAAACCTGGACTGTCAAATGACATGTCCTCTGTATAAACCTGAACTGTAACATGACATGTCCTCTGTATAAACCTGAACTGTAACATGACATGTCCTCTGTATAAACCTGAACTGTAACATGACATGTCCTCTGTATAAACCTGACACTGTAAACATGACATGACATGTCCTCTGTATAAACCTGAACTGTAACATGACATGTCCTCTGTATAAACCTGGACTGTAACATGACAGGTCCTCTGTATAAACCTGAACTGTCACATGACATGTCCTCTGTATAAACCTGAACTGTAACATGACATGTCCTCTGTATAAACCTGGACTGTAACATGACATGTCCTCTGTATAAACCTGGACTGTCACATGACATGTCCTCTGTATAAACCTGGACTGTCACATGACATGTCCTCTGTATAAACCTGGACTGTCACATGACATGTCCTCTGTATAAACCTGAACTGTCACATGACATGTCCTCTGTATAAACCTGGACTGTCACATGACATGTCCTCTATACCTGTACTGATGCACAACATGTCAACAATACAGGCCACAAATTGACAATACGAAATGAATAAGAATGAAGAGAACAATAACCAAAGTCTTTTGTGTGGTTTAGTAGTTTATAGATATTTTTCATTTGAAATTACATGCCACTGTCAATTATCGAGTTTTACATGACTCGTAAGTCATAGGTGATGTAATATTTTTTTAAATAGGCGTACCTTGGATCTAAATAACTCCACCAAATACAATAGCCAATAAATATATAACCATGCACGCCATGACATTACTTACAACATGGGTCAATACCACAAAATATGCTTTCACAACCTTTGTTCTATTTTATTGACATCATATTTTCATGATTCACAAATGTGGAAACTGACTTCCAAAGACATTTAATGTGAGTCGCCATGACTCTTATGTATAAAAGTCCATTTAACACCCTGAATTATATACATTCCGTTTTGTATCAAGGCACTTCATGAATGAGGTATCCCATTACTTTCAGTGAATCTTTACACCTGTAATTAAGTGACAATGCAAAAGCTACTGATGGGGTTACCATAAGACATTCGTGGAAGGTGGGAAAGATTTTGTCAAAAAAAACACAAAGTGTAAAAGAAAATAATATGCATGCTTCAAATGGTTTAGAAAAAAATCTGCCATAGGTATTTTTAGAAAGATGTTGGGATTTATTTATAAAAATGTTTAGTTTTAAAAAGAAATATACCTCAATGGATTGATGAATTTATTTGTTAGTGTATCAATGGAAGAAAAACAAAACTGCTTATTTTTCCATGTATCTAAAGGACTTCAATATGGATACAGCAGAGGGTAAGTTTGTATGTCACGTATATCCTACAAGGTGTAAATCATATAAGATGGGTCCTGATAGGAGGTTCTTGCATGATTCCAACCTGAGTCCTATTTCAGTTATTGTTGCAAGGCTATCTGTTAGATCTCAGACCAGAAATTAATAATCAGGAACTTCATTTCAACCTTGACTTTATTAATGGCAAAACAAGATCACAAAGAAAACTCCACTGTACATTCACTGATACACAGTCCCGCAGAGAATGCTGCAATACATTCAGTAACTATAAGCGTCCACACATCCATTTCCTTTTCAAAACAGATACCTAACAAACGCATTTCCATGGAATATAATGCAAGAGGAACAACTTCACGTCCCTTAGGATAAATCCCTTTCTTTAATTTTAGAAATATCAATAATGTCAATTTAAATTGGGATAAAACTATTTCTGTCATTTCTCATACATGAAACTTCACTTATTCACATAGCCTTATCAATTCAGTGGGACCCAGTAAGCCATTACCAAGGAACATTTAAATTGCTTTTGCCTTTTTGGCCATTAGAACTTCACACGAAGAAACCAATACAATGAGTGTTCCAGTACCACTTGGGCAGAATAGTCAATAAAAAATGTGAATTGTGTCCCGTAGAAATTACACTAATCTTGGTCCGAGGCTCAACTAAATTAGAATGAAGTGTTAACGACTTACCATTTTGGCGTCTGACACAGTAGCGTCAGTAAGTGTAATAAGCGCAATCACTGATGCCATCTCAATATCCAGGATCCCCATTTCCCGGCTAGACCATTACAGCACGGCAGCGGGGACAAGATAGCACAAATCCTGTTAGTGGCAAATACTTTTACACATACCAGGCCACCACACCATCTGGTTACCACGGCAACATGATGCTACTGCAGCAGAGCACAAAAACTTCAATTCTATGTCAGTTTTTGATTGGAAGGAGTCCAGTGTAAATATTGTTGAAGACATCCAGTGCCCAGAATCCATATCTCTTTGTCTGTCAGGCTATTTGTCAGTCTCTACTCGCAATCAGTTGCCGTAAGCAGCAAAATAAACTAAAGGTTGTTCGCGTTTGTTAATAGATGCTCGTGGTTGGGCTGGGATAAAGAGGGTAATTAAGCATATCCGAGCGCAGCGCTTCCTGCTTGGTCGTCTCTACCTGCCTACAGCGCCACAAATGCTTGAACTGTCTCATTAATCAGTGAACAGGTAAATACAAGATCTACTAAACACAAACAAATTTAATCGTACATGATAACAAGACAATTAATTCAAGTAAAATACTTTATGATATTCTCAGCCCAGCTACAGGCCTAAACAGACATGATACATGCTATAATCTCATTGGATAAGTCATGTCAGATGGCTTAAAAGTGTTATTCTTACAGGCAAAGATATGTGCAATTGTTCTACAAAATATTTCATGCATTTCCCTTTAAGGAACTTTTCTTTTAACTATATGACATAAAAATTAACAACTATTTCTAAATATTATCCTTATCTTTATATCAGTAAAGCCACTTTCTTTGTTTTAAGGATTATTTTGGATGGCAAGTGGAAAAGAAGAAAGGTGAAAGAAGTTCAACTTTCACAAAAGGTGGTAACATAAATATAAGACAAAGATATTACACAGACATTTTAACAAGGAAGCTTAGCACTTCACTTTAAACCTAGGAGCAAACTCCAACAAAGAAAACAAATTGTCGGAACTCGACAACCATGAAAACTTCCTAAAACTAGCCTAAAACATTTGTAAAATATAATTTTTGACACAATGACAAGAAAAAACACCCCTTATTTACATTTATTCATTCAAGTTCCAGCATTGAAAATGGTTATACAAACACCTCGACTCCAGCAGGGTAAAGCTACAAAATATTTTTATTGGGGTTTATAGGAAACCAGAGTTCTGGCCACAGCTTTCCTCATGAATGTCTATTGATATTCAAACAGGCAAAACATATTGTGTTAGTGTCAGCATAGTGTTAGAGATTAACACTAGCCTGCTAGCTCTTGGCTAGTAAATGATGTAAGGGCTTGAAGAATCTGAAAGCAACTATGATCTCTTAATCTTTTATTGCTATAAATTTCAGACCTTGGAAGATCTACACCAATCCATAACATTCTGATGTTGTTGAAAAAATATCACGTAAGTTTGATTGGTTTTTATTGGCAACAACCAATCCGCCGTAACCGTACTAAATTCCATGACTTTAAAGAGACAATAGCTTATGTATCCCCTGTATTTTATACAAAAGCGAAGCTCTAACATTAATCAACAGAACCAATTGCCAAACCCTATACCAGGACCAGTTGAAGCTGTCTGCACAAGGTACAGTAGCTCATCTCAATCCGGGAATATTTGCAACACGATACATCAACTCAATTGAATTTTTCCACTTAGAAGAATACTTGGTCAGATAATTAGCACACACTGATCAGTCAACAGCCATCATGACCTATCATTCATCAAATTGATGACAGGTCAGCAGTGCCAAAAACTGTCCCAAGATTCTGTGATCCCTTTTAATCATGCCAACGCTGGGACCAGCAAGGTTCATGTACTCAAAACATCAGCTTAGCTCATCAAAGTGATCCTAGAAGATGTCAATGACATTTTTTTATCATGATAGTCAAACGTTTATGCAAACTAAAGCCTTTTACTTGAGCTTCCATCCAAGTTTTGGTTGCATTTCGATGACGTCTGCTTACAAAAGGGAATCCAGGGATGACATTGACTGGAAATTTAGTGTTAATATGTGAACTCTTACTTACATGATAATGATGTACCAAACAATAATATGAGCTATTTTGGTACCTGAACAGTTTAAGCACTTCCCTTACACCAGCATTTAATGAATAAAATGCTAAATACGAAAGCTGAATGAATGTTTATAACAGAATTTTCTGCCATTTTATACAAAATATTAATACAAATACTTTTCTGAGTGAATTATTTAATAAATATTTATATACATAAATCTGTGTTCAAAAGCATCAACACTGATTATCTACAACACATCAAAAGAACAGTATGTGATAACATTCCATATCTCTTCAAGACAATGACAACGTACACACAATGAGGATGACATACCTGATACATTTACAGATTGTTATCGACAAGTTGGAGATTGCCTTCACCAAATGATACCAAGCTCTCCATACTGCATGTTACCGATCTCTTGGGGCCACAGGGAGCCCTATTATACACTTATTATGTGAGATGAAGGGGCCTTGTCATCTACACCTAAATGAATGAAATGGCCATAAACCTGTTGGTGTCATAAATATTTAATGTCCTTACTGCAATCAGCGTGTGATATGATTACCATAATCACCATCACTACAGCCTTGTATGCACTGGTGTCGTATTTCCAAATCTATGCGTGTGGACGATTGCATGAGGAAGCACCTTCCACCACGTTCATACCTTACTGTATCAAATCATTGAGTAAACATAACGAGATGAAACAGGTGCTAATTCAGTTTCATATAGCACTGCTCGTACGGACATGTATAAAACTAAAACGTTTGAATAATCGAGTTTGGGCCAGACAATCCAGTGAACACAACATGAGCATCGTACTATTGTGGAGTATGATGTTCATGCTGTTGATCACTGGATTGTTTGGTCCAGACTCGATTACTTACAGATTGCTGTCATATAGCTGGAATATTTCAACAAAATTAACACTGTTTAATGCCACACTCAGTAATATAACAGCTTGTTGACAATGGAGTAGGCAATCCAGTGACTGACTGACTGAGTATGGTTTTACGGCGCTATTAGCAATATTCCAACGATATCACGGCGGGGGACACCAGAAATGGGGTTCACACATTGTACCCATGTTGGGAATCGAACCAACCGGTCTTCGGTGTGATGAGTGAACGCTTTAACCACTAGGCTACCCCACCGCCCCTAAATCCAGTGACTGACAGCATTATCATTGACACACTAGGGACACAATGACATGCATCAACAGGGCTCCAGATAAGGGCCGTATCGGCGTATATACGGATACGGTAGAATTTGTTTTAGAAAACGTAGCAGATACGCGACACAACAATGGTGTACGGTCTTAGAATCATTTACAGACGTATTTATCTGCAAAATTATTGTTTCATTGTTTATTGACGTGTTTACACAAGACTAGCAATGTTGTGGTGCATATATGAAACGAAACACAAGATTACTGATGCTCCATTACATTCCATTCAGTACTCTAAATGTACTCGTGAGGTTTTCCAGTAATCCTGTATTGAAAAAATAAGGAGTAGATACTCCTGATGTTGAAAAATTATCTGGAGCCCTGCATCAACCAAGTCAGCGATTCTGACCAACCGATCCTTTACAGTAAACCATGGTTACTGATGACCAGTTCTAGCTGTGGTCCTCATAGATAACCAAACTTGCAATAACAGACCTTGATATGTGTAACTGAAATCTTTATTAAGTTGTTTTTGTCTAGATATTGTAGGAACTATCTTGTTTCCAGCAATATAACCTTCCAGAACATAACCTGCTGTCAGACGCTGCCAAAGTTTAACTCTTTGGCTGTTTTTATCACATGAAAATATTTCGATTCAGCTGAAAAAACACAGAATTATCAGGAACACTTCATCGAAAGAAACTTTTAAATCTCTGCTAAAGACCCATCTATTCACTGCTGCCTTTCTGTAAAGTTATATGAACTATTTCCTTCACAAATATTGTCACAGCGCCACTGAGCATCGCTATGGGGGATATTAGGCGCTTTATAAATACATTATTATTATTATTATGAATATGGTCACACATATTCTAAAATGAGTTTATATATTTTTCTCTACTGCAACAGCTGTTCTAGAAATGCATCTTGGGACTTTTTCTCAATAATGATCTTAACATTTCCAGGTGAATTCTTGTCGTGACCCTAATTTTAAGATTTCAGAGGTCCTTTGACATGAATATACTTACAACAATCCTCAAAAACCACAAGATCCCCCTTTTAAACACTGACAAGGAATTAGCAACTTCATAACACCATGAGGCATTCCAAAATGCTTTTAGGACAGTGTCTATGGATTGTTAATGAAACGGCAAACAGACTGAAATACAATGCTTCTATCAATTATAGATTAATTTGTACAACAACCATGATATACTTCCTAATCTCACCCAGGACAGTGTTGTGGACAGCATTAGTCCAGGTGACACTGGAGAAACTCTACAAACATTTCCTACATGTCTAACAGCCACTACCAGTAACACTGTTTAATCAATAGGTATCACAGACTGGCCACTACATCAGGCCTTTTATGGGTGGCTCTCCTAGAACACTGCACATAGAAATGTATGTAAATCAGGCTTGTACACATTAGTATAGTGTTAGTATAGTCTGGCTTGTAGATTGATATGTTAATAAGGTTTTCATAGCAATATCTGATCCTAAAATCCGACTTATGAATAAAGTGTCTGCTACAGTCGAATTCCATTTTCCTTCACATTACGATCTCATGATTAAAACAGACCTATCACTCCAATATTACCATACTTGTATGCAAGAAGGCAGTGTCACAATAGAATGTTTTAATGAACCCTCAGTACAAGCAATGACCAACACAGACCAACATATCTGTTTCTCGAAAACCAACACTGTCAGGGAACCACTGAATGCAATATAATAAAGCTGTGTAATTAAAAAGTTTGGGATATTTTATCAATGCTATCGTTTCTGAGCGTCATTTCCTACATTCAAAATTGGATGGCTTACAGCTTATATTCGTGTTATCTAGTGTTTTTCTTTTGAAAAATGTCTCAAATGAGAAAACAAAGATATTATGCCACATTCTTTTTTAAAAACCTGAGATATGATTGGTTCATGAGTCCACACAACCTTGGGTGGTGAAAATTCACTGATGGTTCGTTCACCTGACAAACCCTGAAAGGACATTTCCTCAGATCTTCATGCAGAGACATTGCATGGGACTAAAATATCTGACTTAAAAGAAATGTCACCCACT